CGAGTTTAGCAAAAATTTCAAGCAAATCGGGGACCATGAAGAAATCGGCGGAGTAGTACTTATTAAAAACTACAGAAAAAAACCACTGAGGTTTTGCTCTAAGGTTAAGAAAACCCCGATTCTTTCTTTTGTTTTCAGTAACACGAACATTAGCGATATTTAAAAAAAGTCTCGACGTATACCTAAGCACTTATGAGTTGTGAATGCGAAAGCATCAATGTCCGGCGATGTGGATGCTTGAGGCGGCGCCATGTTGGTTGGCGGCGAGACGAGCAGAAGCCTCCGAGCGTGCGCCAACGTGTCCGTTTTAAGTGGCGCGGGGCCCGTAGTGGCACGGGGCTGCGGCGGTTAGTTTTATCGGCGCGCTGGCGGCAGAATCTCACGGGAGCCAAAGTTGCGCGTTCACCCCGGAGCGACGGCTTTCCTGCACGGCATGCGGAGTCTGCTCCTCGCGTGACTGAATTCGGCGAATAGCGGCGCCGCGCGTTCGAGGCGCGCGGCGCGCTCAAAAACAGGGGAACGTACGTCGGGACGAGCGCGACGTCGTCTTTCCTGCACGACACTTGATCCGGCTCCTCACGCGATCGGATCTCGGCGAATAGCGGCGCGGCAGCACGTGGAAAACAGACGCATAAATCTGGCTCCCGTAGGAAGCCTATACAGGAACTCTAGGATGGATGAATGGATGAATCCGGCTGAGCCCTTTGGATGGGGCGGTGGCTTACGCCGATCCATGACGCTGCATGTCCAGATTGTATTGTATTGTATTGTATTCTGCGGCGCAATCTCTTTGAAACGAGAGTCGAAGTTCGACACGCCAAAAAAGTTAAAAAAGAAGAAAAGGAAAGAAAAGAAAGAAAAAAAGGGGGAGAGAAGGGGGGAGGTCGTCAGGGCCCACCATCTGTCGTCGATGACCCCTGGTGGGCGGAGGGTAACAGCTACACGATCACGGTGGTCCGATCGGTACGCGCTGACTTCTCGGTGCGCAAATCACCGTCGCACTTTCCACCACGCCTCCAGTCTTTGCCTAGAACAGGCCACGTGGTCATGTTCGTTCGTGAAGCCGAGTGCCTGCTCGATGCGGGAATCCCCAATGGGCGCTGGCAGGAGCTTCTGGCACGTGAGCAGCACCATCTGGTGACGGTCGTTGAAACTAACGCGCGCAGCGGCCAATGGGAGCCTCGTCGCCGCGCGAGAGCCAAAGGGACCTTTGGGATCAGGGAAACTAGGTGCCGTTTTCGGGCTTCAAACTGATGACGTCGGCTCGCTCCATGGGACAGTTAATACTTGCGCATTAATAGGTTGTAGCGCACGGCCATGAAGCCTCTCGTGAACGTTGGCACCGTCAATTCAACGTCAGTGCGCTGTACGTCAAACTGAAGTTTTGGGGTGTGTTATATGGGACAAAAGGGTGTAAGGTGATACCCTACTTTTTTAGAGTTCGCAGAAATCGACGACAAACGCCCTACGCCTTGCGGTAACGGACGTCACTTCCGCTGCTCAGTAGAGCCCATAAAAGCTCTCACTGCAATTGATGCTTGCAACCGACTGTCCTTATAATGCCCTGGATCAGATCTACCACTCTTACTACTGCGCTACGGTAATACCGCTTCTAGTTCCATGCCGAAGAACATACGATCTCAGCACGCACGGTTAATTTGAAGGTAGAAACCGTGCAAATTTCAGGAAAAAAACTGGGAATTGTTAATTCAATTTGCTCTGTTTTTTGTTTTTTTTCGATCAAAGACAAACAGTACTTTTGATCTCGTTTATGTGGTTGAATTTTGAACGCTGCAAAAAGGAAACGATATAAATAGCATGTTTACGCCGATGCTGGATTCTATTGTCCGCATATCTCAGCAACAAAAGCTATTGTTACTCCTTAGCGCAGTGCTCGGGCGAGGTAACGATGATCCCAGGCGTTGTTCCTAGAATTTCGTGTGAAACGTTGAAAAGCAGTACCAACCGAGAGCAGATGCACGCTTCATTCGAGACGCCGTTCTGTTCTTTTTGTGTACCTCTCGACTCCATGCTCTCAGTAGGATTATATGACATCAACTCGCTTGCGCGTTCACCCTTATTTTAGCTCCCTTCAACGACTCGTATTTGTCGCCCCTAGAGTTAGCCTAGAGGGAGAGGTCACACGCACCACTCGGGAACGGCAGGGTGCAGAAGCAGACATCGGCGGTCCCAGGTGGCGGTATACCGATGGGCCCATATCGCTGGCGACGCATTACTATGCAGAAAGCAACAGCAAAACGTCACCTGTACGGTCTGCAGCTCGTTTTTTTCTAGCTTACTTCGCGGGAAAACACCGGGGTCGCCCATTGTATAAAACTAATGGCGAATTCCATTGGTCGTTTTGGAGTGCGCCGGGATCGATTTTTCTAGAGCGAGCCCATTTCAATGGGCGATCGGGATTGAGACCGACATGTTTCACTGGTCGTTTTGAATTAGCTCCAGCTCCAGATCTCGATCTGGATCCGAGAAAAGTCACTCCCACGATTTCGGCGGATTCAACCGGAAGCCAGCCGGGACAGCCCTCGCCGCACACACGTGACTTCCTTTCTCGTGGGGCATCTCGCCTCAGAAGAAGAAGAAGCACGTCGCGGGCTGGGCTCCAAGATTGTCTCGACATCAGAATTCGTATAGGCCACATGCTTACCCCTTGGCTCGACAGCCGGTTCGTTCTCCAGGAAGGAGAAGGGAAGGTATTTGGCCGCGCTACGGGCATTCCGGCAATATTTGCTAGAAGCGCCTGGCCCATTCCTGCCGCTCGAGCGTGGAACACGTGTTAGCGCCGCGATTGCGAAAACATCTTCGAAACGACCGCGGCGGCTGCGGAAAGGGGATTCCCGGGCAGTTGAATGACGGGAAGGCATCCGCCGAACCCGGACCAGTGGTCATGTTCCAACGGGGATCCGTAGGCGGCGCGACCCCGTTCGGATCGTGTGCTCCAGTCCGGATCTGGTCAACTGATCCCGGCGCGCTCCAAAACGCCCATTGGAATTCGCCATAAATAAAGTTGCTAAGTGCTCGAGCAACGCCAGCTCGTCGCGGCAAAGCGAACACGCCTAACCTTTTGTCTGCTTTCTTTCTCCGCTTTTATGTCCCTCTCCTTCTCGTTCCTACTCTCGGGAATGCCGATGTCAGCGCACGGGATTTGCTGCGTTCTGATACCGTCTTTACACTCCCGTTTACGCAGACGAAACACCGGTTCCGCAGAGTAAAGCAGATGACAGGTCATTTGCGTGGAAATGCCACAGCAGCGACACGCCAGGAAATATTTCGCCCGGAATCCGTCAGGCGACGACAACGCCGCTCGAAAGTGCGAGTAAAATCCATCGAAAACCAGGAAATGTGACGTCTACGGTCAGCGTACAAAAAATTAGGAAAAAATGCGCTTTCCAATCTTTCGGGGGTGTGTTAAGGAGAAAACAACCCTTACCTGCAGTTTTAATTTCGTGCTTCATTCTTATGTCTCTTTAAACGCCAAATGTGAGAATATAATTCGTGTCTGACCAGAAATAACCAGATGGCTGTCAGTCGAACGGTTAGAGATGTGAGTAAAGACCAAAAGCTTCGCTTCTTGTCTACCCACTACTTGTTTAAGCCATGCACACAGCTCAGCGTTCTAACGTCCCCGCACGCATTCTTGACTCCTCCTCTCCCTCACCTCATCGGTGCATAGACCATGCACGCTTTTGAGCAGCTCTGCATGGCGCCGCCATAAGTGAACTGCAGTGCTTTTTTTTCTGATTATGTTTACTCCACTTCATCGTTAACACAGCAGGGACGGTTAATTCTCCTAGAAAAATTTTATTCACTTTTTTTTATTGATAACGTGTTAACTTCTCGTTGACTTTGATTACATTCTTGTGACTTTGACTTCCTGTTGCCATGGTCAACAAAACGTTAGTTGATTTTCTGTTGAAATTCTTCTGATAATTTTCTCCAGACTGAGTCAAAGGAAAAGCTTTTGACTTTCTATTAACTACGTTAATTATTTTCTGCTGACTTTCTCTTGACAGTGTCATCAAAAAGATTGCAAAAGTTTTGTTTACTTCACGTTAAACAATCTCCAGTTGACTCTCTGTAGTCAGTAGCTATATAAAAGCTACAGACTTTCTGCTGACTTTTGATTTGAACATAGTACGTCTTGACTATATCTCGAGAATCTCTTTAGTCTTGGACAAGGTGAGGACGGTAGAAAGGAGCTTCAGTTGCCCCTCCTCCAGCGCGAGCACCCTCGACAATGCTTCGTCGTCTCGCGCACGTCGAGAGCGTGCGCGCAGTCAAAGCACGGCGGAAGGCATGGAGCGCGTGTTGGAGGCCAGGGCCGGTTTGCTCATCTTGCGGCTGCGGTTGCGGCTGCGGCCAAGAGGGATTTTTACGTCACGTGACCAGCTCCATGGGGACAAGGAAGTACCTAGCGTCCCTGCCTAATGGCGGAGTGACCCGCATCGCTTCAAGCACAAAAGCCTAATTTCGCTCGCAGAAACTGATTGCAGGGACTTTAATCTGGAGTCCAATTGACCGCCCCTTTATACTGTAGGAGCGGCAGGTAAAGTTACGGCCAGGGAAGGTAAATAGGAGCCAAAATAAAGAAAAAACCACACGAGATAAAAGTGGTAGCAGTATATTTATATACCTCCACCGGCGCCGGCGCCTCATGCCTCCCGCTATGGTCGGGAGAAAGAAGAAGACGCCGTTCGAAACGGTCATGTTTTCAATGCTCTCCAGTGAAAACGCACCGGCCACAGGCCGGGGAACTGCTGAGGCTTCGGCCAGTACCACCGAAATGACGACTGAAGAGTACCGGACCGTACTTCCCCGTCTACCGACAGGTAATTGTTGCGTTGCAAGTGTGCTGAACAAACAGAGCGCTACCGCGGCGGGCAGAATAAGAATCGGGCAGCCATTCCCATTCACTGGCTTTATTCTACTTCCTCTTCTTCGTCGCCGCCGCTATATACGGTGATCACGCGCAAACATAAAATCTACATCACTACATCACTTCCCCCGAGGAGCAAAGAAATGAACAGAGCGAAACGCTTTTCAGGAGCAGACGTAGTCCCTGAGTCTTGTAGGAGGGTACCTTGTACGGACCGGTCGTGCTGTTCCTGATAGATCAGGGCCAGGGGCTTCAAGGAATCGCTGGTTTCTTTCGTCCTCCTCCACGTCGAGCTGTTGTTCAAATTCCGGAGTCGGACGTGGTCCTTCACTGGATCTTTGAGCTTCGTTGGGTTGCAGGTCTCGTCTCTCCCCCGCGTCGATGTGTTGTTGAGCTTCCTGGTGAGGGTGAGTATGACGCGTGTTCATGGCGTTTTCTTCCTCAGCATCATCCGCATTGATCAATTCATTATGTGCTCTGAGCTTCGCACTCGTGGGAAGATAAGTTTGAAGAAACTTGAGTTCCTTGTGATAATTTTCTGATCTCTCTGAGCAGTTACCTGCGTCCCTTTGATTTCGATCACTTTATATGGCTGCGGGTCATAAGGGGGAGTGAGCTTGTTCGACGGAGGCTGTCTACACAGTACCCGATCTCCGACTTCGAAGTTGTGGGCTCTCGCATGTCTGTGTTCATCTGCGTAAATCTTGTGCTTCTTTCGATTTTCGTAATCCTTGTGTTGCCATTCCTGTGGCACGTTGTTAGTGTCTGCGGAATCAGGAAGGAGGTAGCCCATAGGTCTTCCAAAGAGTAGTTCGAAGGGCGTTTTCCCTGTCGTTGAGTGAGGTGTCGCCCTATAGGCCATTAGAAATTTGCTCAATTCGGAAGTCCACGTAGAGTTTTCCAACGTTGTCGCCTGTAGAAACCGTTTAAGTGTGCGCATGAATCGTTCGACCTCACCGTTCGCTTGCGGCCAACAAGGCGTGATGCGCTGATGGCGAAATCCTAGCGAGTCAGCGAAGTTTTTGAAGTCAAGGCTTTGGAATGGAGGCCCGTTATCCGTTTTGACGACCTTAGGAATCCCGAAGGTACTGAAGATCTTCATAAGGTTGGTGATGACAGTTGGGGCCGCTAACGATGATAATACCGCCACGAGAGGGTAACGTGACGTATCATCCATTAGGACCATTATGTATTTGCCGTTAGGGAAAGGCCCCGCGAAGTCAAGTGAGAGCGCCTCCCAAGGTTGATTTGGCTTCGATGGAATCGGGACGGGGTCAGAGTGTTGATGTTGGACGGTTGCCTGACACGCCATACAGTTTTTAAGAGTAGTTTGTACCATGCTGTCTAGGTGGGGAAACCATACTTTTCGCTTCATGAGCGCTTTTGTTTTGGAGATGCCCTGGTGCCCAATGTGAGCGAGACATATCGCCTGTTGCTGTAGAGCAGCCGGTAGAACGAGGCAATTGCCTTTCAGTAGTAGGCCGCTGTCCGTCAGAGAGAGCTCGTGCTGTACGGATATAAACTCTCTGAGTGCTGGGTCGTTCCACCTGGCAGGATTGCTGAGGGCAGCGATCACCTTTTGCATATGAGGGTCGTTTAGAGTGGCGGCAGCTACTTCTGCACGAGTCATGGCTTTGGGAATGTTGTGGTGGGCAATGAAGTTGACATATGCATTAGTGCTATGAGCCAGGCGGGCGTCAGCAGGGGAGCTCGGCATGGGATGGCGAGACAGGTAATCCGAGGGGTTGTTGATTCCACACGTGTGCTCCACTGTGAAGTTGTATTGTTGGATTCTCAACACGAGGCGTTCAATTCGTGCAGACGGACACGCCCATGCGTTGGTGAGGATGGAGACAAGGGGTTTGTGGTCTGTGCGAATGAGAAAGTTGTTACCGTAAAGATACAGACGAAAGTGCTCTGTCCCCCAGACAACTGCAAGCAACTCACGTTCAATCTGAGAGTACCGTGCTTCAGTGGGGGTCAAAGCCCGACTAGCATATGCGACAATCTCGGTGTTGTTGCCTTCCTTCTGTGCTAGTATGGCACCAAGGCCAACAGGCGACGCGTCGACCGTGAGAATTATTTCTTTTGTACCATCAAAAAAGACAAGGTTGGGGATCTCAGACAGCTTTTCTTTCAGCGTATCCAAAGCACCTTGCTCTTCTGGTCCCCACACCCACTTGGTGTTCTTTTTTGTGAGAAGCCGAAGAGGGTACGTTATATCAGCAAGGTTAGGTAGGAAGCGTCCGCTGTAATTTACTGTACCAAGCAGACTTCGAACTTCATGAGCGTTGGCAGGGGCCGGCATTTTTTTTAGTGCTGCGATTTTCTGGGGGTCTGTTCTGATTCCAGAAGCAGAGAAAATGTGACCGAAAAAACAGAGTTCTTTCTGTGCGAAGAGACATTTTTTTGGATTAACTGTGAGGCCGTTCTCTGTCAACCTTTCGAGAGTTGCCTGGAGAGCCTGATCATGCTCATCCTTTGTCTTGCCAAACACAAGTATATCATCACTGATGTTGAGGACGTGAGGTATGCCGTTGAGTACTTGACGGATGGTTTCCTGGAAAACCTCGGCAGCTGCGTTAATTCCAAACATAAGTCGTTTGTAGCGGTACAATTTGTTGTGTGTTGCAAATGTTGTGATTGTTCTTGATTCATTATCAAGTTCTAGTTGGTGGTACCCATCTTTTAGATCAAGCTTCGTGAAGAGTGTTGATCCGTTCAGCGCTGTGATCACGTCGTCGATGGTAGGGCAGACGTGCCTCTCGCGAAGAATGGCCCTATTCGCACATTTCATGTCGATGCATAGGCGAATGTCCTCTGGATTGTGCGGCTTTGGCACAATTACGACTGGTGAAACCCATGGAGTAGGTCCGGTTGCTTCTTCGATGATATCAAGGGCCAAGAGCTGGCTTATCTTCTCTTCTACTTTGCTTCGCACTGCAAAAGGGATTCTGCGATGGGGCTGAGCAACCGGGGCAATGGCTTTGTCAATGTGGAGGTGTACTTGGAGGTTTTTTAGTTTGCCTACACCCGCACACAACTCGGGAAAAGCAGCGAGTGGGGTCTCGAGCAAATTTGGGGGCACCTCTCCATTCGAGCGTGCATCTTTTTGTGAGTGTCCTTGGATGGCGTAAGTAATTTGGATTAGGCCCAGTCTATTTGCAGCAGCGAAGCTCAGCAGTGACTTCACGGTTCCCTCTATTACGAACACGTCTTCTGTTGTGTCGCTGTCCCTGTACTTCAGCGTGACACTGAGCTTTCCTATGATTGGTAGCGGAGCATCCGATCCATAGGCGTAAATACGCGTGCCTGCTTGTTGGAGTTTTGTAAGTGCTCCAAGCTTGTTAAGGGTAGAGGTTCCAATGACCGATACTGAAGCACCTGTGTCAATAAGAAATGTTATAGGGGTGTTGTTAACCTGCAGATGAACCTCTGGGAGGTTTTTGGTGCGATACTTGTGATATAGTTCCGACAGCATAAACGCTCTTGTCGGAGTCAGAATCATGAGAAATCTGGAAGATAGGCTTGTGTGCTGATTGGCACACCTTGCCATAGTGTCCTTTTCTGCCACATGCTTTGCAAGAGGCAAATTGTCCTCCCTCGTGGGGCCAGGGAGCACCACAGTGGAAACACTGGGGAGGCGAGACGTGGGTGCGTTGTTGTGCGCTGCCTCCATATTTCAGACGGGAAGAGAAGCAGCGAGGTTGTTGGGCATTTCTGGATGTGCCTGCATGGCCGTAGCGAGGCTGTCCAGAGATTGCTTGAACCGTGGTGGTTGTTGACGACCCTTCCATGGCAGTCGTTGCTCGGTTGACATCCTCGAGGAGTCGAGCCTGATTCAAAAGTGATGGAAGGTTAAGGTCTTGCCTTAGGGCTACTCGTCGTAGGCGTGAAGATGTCGTTGCAAATATGATCTGGTTCTTGATTTCCTCGTCGGCGTTCGCGAAACCGCAATTGCGGGCAAGCAGTCGAAGCCTTATCGAGAATTGGCCGACAGATTCGCCCTCGAGTTGCTTTGCCTGACGAAACTGAAAAACCTCGAAAGTGGTGTTCATGCGGGGATTGAAGTATGCGTCAAGCTTGTCTTTGAGAGATTGGTTTGAGTTTCTGGTCGTTACTGAGGGTGTATCAGCATCTGGCGTCGTACTTGAAGTGGGACCACTCTGCTGGTCAGGAAGGGTATCGCAGAGTTCATGGACACGTTCCCCCGCATAGTGGAGCAGGAGAGAACGTTTGCGTGCGTCATTCTTCACATCGAAAGCGATGAGGAAGTTTTCAAAGCGAGTGATCCACTTTTGCCATTCGGTGCCGATATTAGTTGGGTCAGTGGCATCCAAGTCAAAAGGGGGCAGTGAGGTTGGAATGAGGGTCATCATTAGTGAAGAACAGTAGGCTTGGCTGTGAAGCTAGCGGCTTGTGATACAGCGGCGGCGCGCTGCGAGGTCGTAGAGGGTGGACACTTGCCAGAACAGTAGCTGAAGACTGCCTAACACATCCTCGTCGCCAATGTAGCGTTGCAAGTGTGCTGAACAAACAGAGCGCTACCGCGGCGGGCAGAATAAGAATCGGGCAGCCATTCCCATTCACTGGCTTTATTCTACTTCCTCTTCTTCGTCGCCGCCGCTATATACGGTGATCACGCGCAAACATAAAATCTACATCACTACAGTAATTTGAGTCTTAATTCTGTCTTTCTTCACGGAGATCTCGCCGCGCGGCCATACCGAGCAACAGACTTCCGAGACGCTTTGCGGGACGTGGTTGACAGCCAGGATATCATCGGAATCGGCCAATTCCAGATGAGTCACGTCTGGATGGTGGCCTGTGCAAGCGCTTTGGCCAAGGCCAAACTTGTGACCAAAGCAGAGCTCCGCGTAAAGGGGCGCCGATGCCTAATCATCGACCCGGACACCAGAGATGTCAAACTTAAACTTCTTTGGCTACCAGTTCACATGGACAACCAGCGTATCGAAGAAGCACTGGCGCCTTTTGGCACGGTCCGTTCGATTGTTAGAGAAAAATGGCGCTGCGCCGGAATGGAGCAGATGGAGACGCTAAACAAAGAAGCGACGTTGACCCTTCACGAGGGAATGAACGCGAGCCAGATACAGCACCAGCTCACAGTGTTCGGCTGTCGAAGCCTGGTGCTCGTGCCTGGCCGCCCTCCACTGTGTCTACGATGCTACCGAATCGGTCACATTCGTCGCGAGTGTAGGACCCCAAGATGCAGTGAATGCCGACGTTATGGTCATGCAACAAGTGAGTGCGTCACCACCTATGCGGACAAGCTTCGACAAGCAAGAAGCCCAGCTGAAGATGTCGCTTTAGAACACCTAATGGACATGAGCGAAGTGGTCGATGCAACGGGAGAAGTCATCCCTTCCAGCACCACTTCAGGGGTACAGCTGACGGCCCCACTGCACCCACCACCTGACGTCAACCCTGAGTCGGCGACGATCACCACTGAATCTGAAAAGCCTGAATCGCTTTTGCAAGACAACGAATTCCCTCCTTTAAGTACGACGTCAACGGTTGCTTCACAGGATTCATTACATCGACGAGAGCGCTCGACCACGTCCGTCGAACATCTGTCAAACGACCCGCCCCAACATCGGAAAAATCGTCTCAGTCGTCTACCACGGATGTCGCGATCGGCCACAACAGCGACGAGAGAGGCGACGCAAAACGCAGGCCAGCTGAGGTGTGTGAGCACCATTACAGTAAGGCCACACGGCCTGCTGACGTAGTGAAGGGCGGTGATGAACTACCCCCTTAGCTAACACCTCCCTGGCATTTCCTCCACTGAGCTTCGCTACCATCAACGTCAGAGGACTGTGTTCGCGTGCACGTCAGTCCCAACTGTATAGGCTCCTCTCAAAGGAACAGATTGACTTTGTTGCCGTCCAGGAGACAAAGATATCGTCCGACGAGGACACAGCTCGTGCATTGGACCCTTTCCTCTCAAGTTATGAGGTATGTGTGAGCCACGCGGATGGCTTGTCGGGAGGGTGCCTTTTATTTTTAAAGAAGAGACTAGAATACTCGTCATTTTCACATGCTGTGGATGATAAGGGCAGGTTCATATGCTGTGATTTTTTCTTAAATGGTATCTCCTGGCGTTTAATTTGCATTTATGCCTACAATGATGTTCGACAACGACGTTTGTTTTTGAAAATCTCGCCCCTTTTCTTGACACCGACAGGCAAGTTGTTCTGTTTGGTGATTTCAATTGTGTCTGTAATATCAGTGATAGATCAGTGCCTCCTACAAGACCTGACAGCAGTGCTGACATACTAAACAACCTCACATACGACTTCCACCTATTTGATGTCGGTGCTTCTCAGGTTACTGCTAGTCGATTCACTCACATTGATGCTTCATGTAACGCGAGGCTTGACCGAGTTTACGTTTCAAGCCAACTTTTTTCGCATGTGGCTACTTATGAAGTAAAACCCATGTCCTTTTCTGATCATAGCCTTGTAAAGGTTCGTATTGGGGCAGACGTACGTAATAAGTCACGTCCAAAATGGGAATTATGGAAATTGAACACAAGGCTTCTTGGCAGTGATGATTTTCAAAAACGTGTTCGTGAATGTTTGAACAATATGTCAGCGAATGAAAAATTCGGCATTTTCGCCCAATGGGACTCATTTAAACAAGAGGTCAAAAATGAAGCGATTGAATTTGCTTGTATTGCGTCTTTTCACGCAAAGAAAGACGAAACTGCCCTTTTGCGAAACCTAAATAGCCTTCACGAATTGGAATGTGAAAAATCTGAGTGAGTTTCAGGAAGAAATCATTCTTATCAAAAGTCAGCTGCAGCGCTATGAGCAAAATCGCTATAATGGTGCACTGGTACGTTTTAGGTGTAAGCGTTTCTTGTCATCTGAGACACCCTCGCGGCGTGCCATTGATGATGAAAGACGCCATGGGCTTTCCAAAAAAATCAAACTTTTGGACTGCAACGGAACCCTCTCAACCAACGATGTTGATATAATGCGCACATTCGAATCCCACTACAAAAACCTATTCCAGAAAACGCCATCTTCCAACAGTCAAATGACAGACACTTTAGTTTCCATGTTGCCTAAAGTAAGTGAGATTCAACACGAACTACTTAGTGGACCAGTAACGCTGGAGGACATTCGGAGTGCGATAGATGAGTTGCCTAACTCTAAAACGCAAGGACCGGATGGACTCCCAGCTGAGTTTTACAAGGCGCATAAGGAACTACTGTGCCCTTTCTTACACAAAGTATTTCTTGAAGCTTACGATAGTGAACGCTTACCACCATCTTTTTATAGCAGCCATACAGTATTAATCCCCAAAAGTAAGGATGCAGATAAACTTATACACGTAGAAGGATATCGCCCTATTACTCTCTGCAATGTGGACTATAAGATATTCGCTAAGATTCTGACAAAACGGCTTCAGTTCGTCGCTTCTAATGTTGTTGGCAACCATCAGACATGTGGAATTAAGGGGCGAAGCATACATATACACGTCGCACGTTCGGTCATAGAGAGCTGTACTCGGCATAACAACCAGGTCGCCATAGTCCAAGTAGACTTGGCGAAAGCCTTCGACCGCGTATCTCATAACTTCCTTTTCGCCATTCTTAGACACATAAACCCGGGACCAACGTTGTTGAAAGGAATCGAACTACGCTACCGAAGCTGTGCTACCCGTCTCATTGTTAATGGTTCACTCTCGACTCCTACAAATTTAGAATCGTCTGTTAAACAAGGGTGTCCCTTATCCCCTCTTTTGTTTGCTCTTTACTTGGAACCTCTTTGCCTGAGCGTACTTTCCAACCCTACAGTGGACGGTTATCATTTTTATTCCGCGGAAGTAAAAGTGTTAGCCTACGCTGACGATATAGCGTTTTTCTGTGCTGATAAGAAAAGTGTCAATAATGTCTTTACCTTAACCCAGACATTTTGTGAAGCATCGGGAGCGTTGGTAAATGACTCAAAATGCGTTGGCTTCTGGTGCGGCCAGTGGGCCACAACACCTTCGAAGTATGCTGGTATTTCGTGGAGCTGTGTAGCTCCTCAGTATTTAGGAGTACCGTTGAACTGCATTCGAAACAGTGGCCATTACTTCTCTGAGCGTGCGGCAAAGATCAAACGTCAAGCCAATATAATGAAATCAAATCAGTGGTCAATCTTTGGACGCGCAAAAGCGTGTAACATTTTCCTTGTAGCGAAACTCTGGTACGTGCTCCAGGTGATTTGCTGTGCGAGAGGCCAAATTAAAAAATTCCATAGAGTTTTTGCGACTTTTGTCTGGGATTCCACTTGGGAACCCATGCACAAGACAACCCTTTTCGCTCCATTGATACAGGGGGACTTGGGCTGATTCACCTATTTTTAAAACAGGTGGCTGTTCGTTTTATGTTCTTCCGAACTGTATCCCATCATTTCCTGCGCACTTACGTGCGGACAGAACTTTCAGAAGCTTTACCATACTTGGTAGTCTCATCTGTGCCTGTAGGCACATTGCGTCCTTTCGGTTTCCTTGGAGAGGTAGTTAGCGCGATTGAATTTTTGA